AACCAGCGTCTTGTGACGAGCTAATCGTAGTGTTCTTTGCATCTCATGATCACGAAGACCATCAATAAACGTTTGAACGGCCAACTTTTCCATCATGTCTTCGGGAGCTGTTGGATAAGCATATCGCACTAATCTGGCGATATCTACTTCATATTCTTGAAGAGCCTCATCTTTCTTTTGTCTTCGATTTTTGAGCTGCGACTGATATACATGCTCCAAGTGTTCGTGGCCATATCGCATATTTAACCTCTTCTTCAGTTGTTCGAAATCATCCGTCTCCTCTACGGCTATGGTCTGGAGCACATCTAAGGCATCTCCTCGAAGAGCGATAGTCAGGTTTACAGCCTTTTCTTTTTCGGACCATCCATTCGCTCTTGCAGCTGATTCGAACTGTTTCATGTAGTTGTTCCATGACGATTTTCCGTCGAAAGTTGGAACTTTGACATGAACATAACCCCCGCTTCCTTCAAATTTCGGCCGTATTTCCAACTTACATTTCGTCTCCTCTTCTTTTGTCTCTGCTATAATTGGATTGTTTTCTCTCTCTGCTGTCCCTGTTTCCTCCATCTTCCTTTCCATCTCTTTTATCTTCTCTTCGAAGGCCAACATATCGGCAGCAACTTGGTTCTTTAATGAAGACATTTTATCGTCGAGGGCAGACATCTCAGAGGTGACTTTAGAGATGTTAGCAGAAACCTTGCTTTCCAGAGAAGAAATCTCGTTAGAAACTTTGCTTTCTAAAGAAGCGATATCACAGGAAACCTTGTTCTCTAATTTCGAAATCGACGAGATGACAACAGCAACCTGCTTGTCTTCAAATATATGAGTTTCTGGATCCAAACCTTCTTCTTTTAAAGCGTTCTTTAGTCGTTGGACTAACTCAGCCTTTTTTCCGGTAGAAGCTAATTCTCTGTCTTCAAGATGTCTTCTTAAATCCGTAACTGTGAGCTCATTAATTGTAGCCATATTTCACTTCTTTTTATTTCAAATTCAAATTAGATTTATTTAAAATCCCGCTTTTTTATTTGAATATTCCACTTCTGACTCCACTGTTATATTTATTTATATAGTTCGAATTTATATGTCTTTATTCTAATTTATTGTCTATAATCTAATTTATTAAAACTCACGATAGCTAATTACTAATTTATTTACTTTAACTTTACAAATGTATTTATTTCACGTTTCGTACAAGTAAACCGCGTTTACCGATCTTCTTATGACTGGTTCCTCAATGAAAGTATTCCCTTATTTATATAATTCCAAGCCGGTAAACAGAAAGGTGTAGAACATACCATGCTGTTCTCGATGTAGACACAGCGGCGACTGGTCTCAAAACATGTTTTTTTTTTATCGGCTTGTCGCCCCCAGAACATTCGATTCAGGTAGATTTTTGACCTAGAAATTACGAGAATCAATAAAAGAATTAGTCATAAAATATTTACAGTTCTATATGCCATAACATTTAAAATCGTAACAATATTATGTATTAGTTGCCAATATATCTCGAATCTATTCTACAATTATTAATAGCTTGTTCTATGGCCCACATCTCGATACTATCAAACTCCTTTTCATAGTCGACGAAGGCAAGAAATACTGGTAGTTGGTATTCATTTGCCTTCTCTATCAATGTTCTGATTGTCAGCAGATGGTCTGATGTACTATATCCTTTGCGGAAGCCAGCCTGTTCAACCGGTTGGTAATTGTCCATTTTATAGGTCATCCGGTTATTAATAATTCTCATAAATAGTTTTTATACTTGACTAAGCAACGATATAGGTCTATAATTCTGTAGATCACATTTGTCCCCTTTTTTGTGTAAGAGTATTACTAGACTCTCGTTCCAGTCTTTAGGGATCTTGCTATTTTATGGAGACATCTATTAAATAGCTCTGTTAGTACAGGGATTGTTAATGTCTTGCTTGTTTTCAACAGATCGGCAATTATAACGTCGTGTCCTGGAGCTTTATTATTTTTTTGCTCTTTTTATTTCGAATCCCTTTACATTTGGTAGTACTTCTGATCCCACGTTTTTTATTTTTTCTGCCTTTTTGTTTCTCTCTTTCCATTTTTTTATGTCGCGTTTTAGTTCGTTTCTAATTGTCCCTTGATATTGATTTAAAATGTATTCCACAAAAACGGGAACAGTTTCATGATAAAAAATTTTTCCAGCCCACATCCTAACTTGTAGAAAACTATATATACGAACACCCTGTACATGCCTGAATTTCTCTTGTCAACCAGGTCCTCTCCAAACTCTCACTCTTCTTTAATCAGGGTAGATAGAAAACCTAGCTTCATCGATGAAAAATACAGAACTCCATTCTTGAAGGCCCCAATGCACATGTCGTTGTGCCCATCATAAACTTGAGTCCACGATTTTAATTACGTAACCCTCAATGGAAGTCTGGCCTGCAGGCCAGCTTCATATAATATATTCCTCAAAGTTTGATCACATGTAGTAATGTTGATTGTATTGTAAGGCCCCCAGAGTTCATGTACAGTTATAGGCGCATTTTGACAAGCTAATTCTACCACATACCGACGCTGTCAAGGAGTAGTTGCACGTTGCCAACCTCCACGTCTTTCACCGATATTACCAAATTGTTCATATCGACGACATTATCACGAAATCACGCTGTGAGATACGTCAAAATGATGCGCATGATCAGCGTGTGAAAGACCATCGCCATCCTCAATCACATTCACAGCAGTTACCATTTGAAACGTTATGTCTCAAAGATGTCTTGACATAAATCAAGATGTATTCATGTGTTTCATAGATTACAACAAGGCCTTTGATAAAGTGCGGCATGATCACCTAATCAGACTCCTGACAGAAAAGAATTTAGATAAACGAGACATCCGACTAATAGCAAATATGTACTACAATCAGAAAGCAGTAGTGAGAGTAGAGAATAATACCACTGAAGAAATTGAAATAAAGCGAGGTGTGAGACAAGGGTGTATACTGTCACCAACCCTGTTTAATCTCTATTCCGAAGACGTAATGAATAGAACACTCTCTGAGCAATCCGTAGGTATTAAAATAAATGGTGTTAGATTAAACAATCTGAGATTTGCCGACGACACCGTTCTGATCGCAGAAACACTTGAAGAGCTACAGACATTGGTGAATAAGATAGCAGACTACAGCGAAGAATATGGACTATCTTTGAACATAAAGAAAACGAAATTTATGGTAATATCGAAATCAACACAAAATGTCCAAAATTTATATTTACACAATGAAATTATCGATCGAGTTAGCAAATACAAATATTTAGGCACTTTTATAAATGAAGACAACGATAGCTCAGCGGAAATCAAAATAAGAATAGAAAAAGCCAGATCCATATTCACTAAAATGAAGAGAGTGTTCTGCGGAAGAGATTTGAGCCTTGAAATGAAACTTCGCCTGATGAGATGTTACGTACTTTCTGTGCTGTTTTACGGAATGGAGTCATGGACGTTAAAAAAGATTGATACCAAAAAATTAGAGGCATTTGAACTGTGGATGTATCGCAGAATCCTGAGAATATCATGGACCGAGAGAGTCACAAATGTCGAGGTCTTGAGAAGAATGAACAAAGAAAAGGAAGTCATATTTACAATCAAAAAACGAAAACTGCAATACTTGGGCCACATTACAAGAGGCGAAAGATATGAACTGCTTCGAATAATTATGCAAGGGAAAATAGCAGGAAAAAGGTCCATAGGAAGAAGACGAAACTCCTGGCTAAAGAATCTACGGGAATGGTATAGTTGTAGCAACAACGAATTGTTTCGGTCAGCAGTTTCGAAAATACGTATAGCCCTGATGATCGCCAACCTTCGGAACGAAGATGGCACTTGAAGAAGACCATTTGAAAATCTGTTAAATGTTGACGTTCAATTATTATTATTGTATTTAATAATCTTGTTTCAGTAAAATTTTAAAGTAAATACAGACTATCTTTAAAATTTGAAGCACGTTTCCATACAATTTCAAGCAATTAATCGTATGAATTTGAGACGCTGTCACTTTTGACTTAACAACACAGTGCAAGTGATAGATTAATTATCATGGCATAACTTGATTTGTACAGAATGCAAATTTAGCAGGATTTGGCAGGTTTTAATTCGGAAGACGGTAGTCCCAGCTCAACGCAGTGTAGGGCGCCTGTCCAGATCTATAAGTATGTTATCAATCGCAGTGTAGGTATCTACTCAGCTCAGCACGCTGTAAGCATGTACCCTTGCGACTGCCAACACAATAGTTTTCTCTGTCGAGTTGCGACAAAAATGTATACTCAAATTGATGTGAACCGATTCATATTATTGAGGTGATATGAGGTGGTAGTTTCAAAGACCTTTTACCAATTTAATTAGCAACAGGTATTCTCACGACACTGGTCTTTTAGTCGTTTAAAATAATTTTACAATTTCAATATTAAGCCATTAAGAACAGTTGAAGTGTGTAGAGTAAAGAAGACTTTATGAACTATGTAACAACCACATCAAGGTTACTTTCTTTGTTGTCAGATTCTCAAGAGACTATTTGCAGGCCCAAACTAGCTTTCATCTCAAAGTACCTAATATACGTCATAGCATTCAAAGCGACTTAGCTTTCTGAAATAATATAGTCCTTTGCCCTACGAATATCACTACTTACTCTCTTACTCTTACTCTCGCTGTTTCATGAACGTGGTATCGCATACGTTCTGTTCCAGCAGTTGTTTATTAAAACTTATAAATGAAACGCACCAGTTCAGTATACCGTTAAGACTGACTTTATATACGTTCCAAAATTGAATACAAATGACAGTTTACATTGTACCAATCTTCCTCTAAATGACATATGGCGCTAATATTTAAATTTTGTTTAGTTGATATCAATATTTTAACATTGTTGGAGCAGCATATATCCCGTTGTTTGTTGATGGAAGGTGTATATCATATTTTTTTTATTTTTTATTTACAGTTATTTTAGTTACAATTATTTTAATTATTTACAGATATCGATGAATGTCAGCAAAACGTATGCCTTTCAGAGGAAGTGTGCTTAAATACCAGAGGAGCGTTTAAGTGTTACAGTATCAAATGTCCTGCTAACTATATTAAAGACACTGAGCACAAATCGTAAGTAATACTGTTTTATATTTAAATTATTGTTCAAACTTGATAACTTTTCTCAGGAGGTGTAAGCGCATACAATCTTTTTGCGACCCAAGGGACTACGAGTGTCTCTTGTTGCCGGAGCAGTATACATACCAATATATAACCCTGGTATCAAATCTACCTCTTACTCATGGACACATCAACCTCTTCCGGATTAAGGGTCCAGAATGGTACGCATCCCGAGCGGAGTTTACTCTTAAGCTATTAGATGTTATCTGTCCAAACAACATCGAACAAGTGAATGAAATGTATTTTAAGAAAGTCCATGACCAGTTTAATAGTATGGTTTTATATCTAGTGAAACCTATAGCAGGTCCTCAAGAAATCAAGTTGCAAATAGAGATGCGCCTTTTCCAGGGAAATATTATTATTGGAAATGTTGTTGTATACATTATTATAGTAGTATCTGAATTTCCATTTTAAGTTCGTTTCTTGTTACTTTTTTTCAGTGGTATGTAAAATATTGTAGAATGATTCTGCGTTTATGTTTCCTTCGATTCAAATATTTTTAATGTGTTTTGATTCATTAATTATATCATCAATGATCATTAAATGTTCATCCATTATCCCAGTTAGATTTAGTTTATATAGTCTTCTAAAGTTTTACTTATTTTTATGTTGATAGTGTACAGCTCATGGTACCTGTTGACAACAGTCTAGCATTTACTTTAATCCATTGGCATTAAAAAACTGTGTTTTATGTTTCTTTCACCTACCCCTCACTTTTATATTTAAAAGTGAATTGAGGATTTGTCCATTATTAGAACTCTCTACTAAGAAGAACGCTTTAGTTTTAAAGAAGAGTTTATTTATAAACTCATAAAATATCATCCAAACTAGCATTTTTAATTGATGTTTTTGGAAAAATATGTTACTTAAAACATTCTATTTTCTGCAAAAATTTGATAATTTGTTTTGTCTACTTAATAAATCAAATAGTACTACTATAATATCGAATTGGAATTGTTAGGGACTTTTAGGATTTAATTACTTTTGGGTATTTCTAACAATAAATATGTATGTACACGAATTTTTGTAATAAAGGAATTTTTTACAATTTTATATTTCTCTTAACATTTATTAATCACAGGGTTGAAAGATTATATATATATATTTATATATATATATATATATATATATATATATATATATATATATATATAAATATATATATATATATATATATATATATATATATAATATATATATCTTTAAGGAGTATGACCGTTTAATATAAAAAAGTGCACTCGTATAGAATGGGATGTTTTCGGTCAATTTGGAGATAAAAAAGACAAGAGTTGTGCTACTTTATCTATTTAATGAAGACGTTTCGCCCACTGTTTAATGAGCATCATCAGTTCATCTAAAAGAGTATTATTAGCGATAAATCTAATATGAGAAACAATTAAGTAAATAATCTTACCTTTAAAAGATCTGTAGCATTAAAATGTTATTAAATTGAAGAAATATCAAAATAAGGCCAACATTAATCTAATATATACATCAGCAACAAAACAGAATCACAGTATCATTGTATAATTATAAAATTTGTCTGTAAAATCAAAAAATGTAATTGACAATTTTGAAACATTATATTAACAACGGCACGGCTTAGGGTTCTAGACTGTTATAACCATAACATGCGAAATGAAGTATAAAAACGTAAGAACCAATATATAACTATCTGGCTGAGTATAAACTGGGACACTTACGAAATAATGCTAAAATTATGATATAATAAAAGAAACTGAAGAAGAAATTAATCATTAAAAGTAGAATACGGAAAAATCAATTTTGTAGTATTAGTGCATGGTAAATTTGGCTTAAGTTGCTGATATCAGTTCTCTTATTTAATGCTTTAGGTTGTTTCAAAATATGACACATCTCCATAAACTGTCTCTTATTAAGGTTACGTTCTCTACAGAGAATTCTAACATCATCAGAATTCACAGCATGTTTGGTGTTCATTGCATGTTGTGCAAGGGCACAGGTATGTTTAGACAGTTTAATGTCACTACGATGTGAAGTAAGGCGTCCTTTAAGGGAACGGCCCGTCTGAACAATATAACATGCATCACATTCAGAACAGGGTATGTGATAGACTACATTCACTTGTTCCAAAAAGAAAAAGATGTTTTAGTTTTAGAAAACAAGTTCCTGACAGTCTTAGCATTATTGACATCAATCTTAACCGGGATATTGTTCTGTTTGTACAATTTAATAAGCTTTTCAGTAACATATGGGAAATAGGGTAGTGAAGAATAATAGGTGGTGGAAGTTGCAATGTTGAGAGAAAGTAGAGTATTGTTGTTCATAATATTATTAGAAATCATCCTTAGTTGATCACCACCAGGTAAATCATCAATAGAAGACCCAAAACTTATTGAAAAAAGGTATTTATTGATGAGAGAAGTAGGGTACGAATTGTTAGATAGTATACATCTGAGTAATAAAAGAGAATCCCTTTTGTTATCAGGATGTGTTAACCTATGTAGCCTACAGCTGAGTGCTTTTATAAGATTTATTTTGTATTTGAACGGATGGCACGAATAATAGTTAAGAAACCTATTACTAGCCATAGGTTTCCTGTACCAACTTGAAGTTACTGTATTGTCACTATTTCTAAAGACACGCATGTCTAAAAAAGGAATACTATTGTTAGAGGGATCCTCAAGTTCATAAGTGAACTGTAAGTGAGGATCAAAACCATTAAATATCGATAAGGTAGACTCTACTTTGTCAGGGTGTAAGGCTAACAAAACCCATTGGTGTCCCAAAAATTTGTAAGTAATATTTATCATTAAAACCCAAAAAATTAGTGTCAAACACCAATTGCAAAAGCTCTGCAAACACATCCCAGGAAACGGGGGAGTTTGGTTAGATAGTGTTCCAATGATTTCTTAAGGAAATGAGAACACTAAAAAAAGGAAGGTTAGTGAAAAGTGATACTACATCAAAGCTCACCAAAGTGTAATTAAGTGGTATTTTGAAATTTTTAATAAATGCACTAAATTGAAAAGAATCAACAATATTATAAGAATTGTGATAATCATAGGATTTAGATAGAATATCAGTTAGAAATTTAGCAATGTGTATATTTGGTGAATTGATAGAAGAAACAATAGGTCTCATACTAAGAGTTGGTTTATGTATTTTAGGTAAATAGTAAAATCTCGGTGCATAACCATCATAGTTATGTAGGGATTTAGATATGGTTTGGTTTATGATTTTAATATTCTTCAAATGGGTAATAAACTTGTTTATTCTATTAGTAAACTTGGAGCAAGGGTTGGAGGGAAGGAATCGATAATAACGACTATCCTCTAACAAGGACTGGCTGAGAGATATATATTGATTTCTATACATGAGAACTGTGGCATTACCCTTGTAGCTAGTGAGGACCAAAAGGTTTGGATGATTTTTAAAAAAGATACCGTTTCCCTATACACATTATCAATTACTGATATGGACTGCCTAGGACGTTTGGTATAATTCAATAAAATGTTACATCTAATATGAGAAACAACTAAGTAAATAATCTTAGTTTTAAAAGATCTGTAGCATTAAAATGAAGAAACATCAAAATAAGGCATTTACATATCACTACTTCGTCTGCCGTTCAAGCAGATTCCGATTCAAACCAAAAATTCCAACTAATGTCTCCAAAATCTTCCCACTTTTAGTGATTCGACCACAGAGACCTGCTCTGGTGGCGAAGAACTAAACAATTAAATAAATAATCGTTCTCTATCCTGTGGCATGTCGAAAATTTGCAAATATTAGTCGCTTTTAGCAAATGCATGGTGTGGCTCTGATAAAATAAAAACCATTCTAATGGGGTCAAAGCCAGGTGCTTTTTGAGTTGAAGTTATGTTTTATTGAAGTTATTTTTCATTATGTGGCTCAAATTTGTTTTCTAGATGATTTGCGAATTTTGATTTCTGTTCTTTCACTCTAAAGAGGTAAGATGCATTTTCATGTACTTGATTTCAGAAACTTTAGTTGGTTTCTATGGAGACGACAGTCGATAGCTAAATCTTTTTAATACTCTAGTTATCTACAAAGAGTGAAATTTCCTCTTATCAGAAGTACTTAAATCTGATAATAAAATAATCTTTATTGTATATTATCAAGTTGAGAAATAAAAATGGGAAGTATAGAACTTTTTATTATCCACTACAATGATAACATATCAAACTTTTTTACCCAATTTTTTATCACTAATAAATTCCTCAAATTGCACATTATATATGAGCCATTCCAAAGGCAGCAATTTTTGCAGATAGAACATTGTAAATATAACAAAAGTTAAAATATAAAATAACTCTTCAGAAATTCAGGCTGATGATATCAATACAAATTAAAACACCATGATTTATGACAATATTTAATAAATACATTATTTACAAGTAAAATTACAAGATTATTTAATATCCAACTATCATGAATCTATGATTCTGTGTTAAACTAAAAGAATATCATTCAAAATTTACAATTATAATAAATTGTTTACATAATCTAAACAGCTAGTATTAAAACCCCAGTATACATAAAGACACCATATTTGCTTTTATTTTTTGGTATTGCATACATATACATATATAAATATATATATATATATATATATATATATATATATATATATATATATTATATATATATATATATTAAATTGGCCAAATATATGGCCTAGGAGGACAAATTCGTTTAAACTTCCCGTGCTCGAATCGGTATCACTAAAGTGTTATGATCATTTCGGTGTATCCCAGCCATCGTCAGACACTTGGGCTGATACAAATTCAAACACGGAAAGTAGAACGAATGTCTCCTAAAGCTTCACCACTGTAGTGGTTTGTGAGCAGAGGCGCCACCTGCTTTGGCGGCCGTGAACGAAAAGGATATAATCACATCGTTTTCTACCTCTGGGCTATGCGAAATGTCGCATCATTTCGCTCATCTTCTTCTTTACACATTTCGCATAGCCCAGAGGTAGAAAACGATGTGATTATATCGTTTTCGTTCACGGCGGCCAAGGCAGGTGGCGCCTCTGCTCGCAAACCACTACAGTGGTGAAGCTTTAGGAGACATTCGTTCTACTTTCCGTGTTTGAATTTGTATCAGCCCAAGTGTCTGACGATGGCTGGGATAGGCCGAAATGATCATAACACTTTAGTGATACCGATTCGAGCACGGGAAGTTTAACGAATTTGTCCTCCTAGGCCATATATTTGGCCAATTTAATACAACAAAGCGATAGCAGCTTTTTGCTAAAAGATTTATTCTTTATATATATATATATATATATATATATATATATATATATATATATATATATATATATATATATATAAATGTAGAAAGAGAGTACAACTGTCAAATACAAATCAATATAAATAAAAGTCAATACAAAATGTATTTCACTGTGATAGTGGAGAGTTATCTGTCAAAAGGTGTAGAATAAAAAGAAAGGATACTGCTACTTCATCCATTTGAAGAAGTTTTGTGTATTAGTCCATACACATCATCAGTTTATATAGAATGCATAGAGAAAAAATTGCAAAAGATTGAAGTAAAAGCTTAACTTATGAACCATATAAAATTTAAAACATTCAGTTTCTTTATAGATAAAACAGAACTGTCAGTTTTTTATATATAAGCAAAAACTGTGCAAAGAACATAAGTATAAAAAATGAGTATCAAAGCAGAATAATTTCCTAACATGGTGCACAAACATAATTTACAATTATTTTGGAACAGTAGTTCAACTTTCATGCAGTTTATTTCAGAAACCTTAGGTTCATATGAGGTCAAAACATTCACATTTTATTACTATTGTCATTAACAGGGTTTTGGCCAGATGAAAATGAAACTACTTGTGTAAACCTTCTAAATTAATTTCATTGGCTGCCTTATTCATTTTGTAATAAATTTGTTTATTGTGTTGTTGTTTTAATGCTCCAATGAATTTTCCAATTTTATTTTGGGATTTAAGATCCGATTTAGTCTGTACTAAAAGTTATAAGCTGACCCCTCATGATGATGATAAGTCAAGCTTAGTCAAACTTTGGCAGAAAAAAAACTAATACTTTCGAAGAGTATCTGGAGCAAGTCTTTAAACCAAGTATATCTTAAAAATGTCTAAAATAGAAACGAAATGCACCACTATGACTAAAATACTTCCTGATCCATTGAAAGTGGACCACTGGACAACTTCGAAATTAACTATCTTCAAATAGACCCATTATTATGGTACATGTCATTTGGTAAACTCTAGAAAAACTCTTTTTAACTCTGCTGAATGATACAATACCAGAAAACAATCTGATCCTTCAACACCAATTCACCAGAAAGAAGCATAGTACAACTGAACAAATACAAAGAGTAGTAGACAAATCAATGGGGCATATGAAAAAAAAAATTACTGTGTAACTGCTGTGCAATAAAGCATAATGATATCGCCTAGAAGTTAAAAAATCACTCTCTACATTATCGTTGAGGCCTACATAAAAGAATATTTTTTATGAGATATGAACAGAAATAAGATTAATAAAAGTAGGTTTATCACAGGGCAGTCTCCATGTTTTACTACTTTATCTAAGTTCACAGCTGACCTTTCACCAAACAACCAAACAATCACAACTTTTGCTATGGATAAAGCCCTTATGGCCTAAAATAAATTGCTGTTACCCAATAGTAATAGCAAAAACAACTCCAACATCTCACAGATTATACATGAAAATAGAAAATTAAATGCAGTGATATAAAATCAGGGCAGTTTACCTTTACCAAATGCAGAAAGCCTGTTATAACCAATGGTCTGTTTGACTCAATCTGACAGTGTCAAATATTTGGGATTCAAAAAGTATTATTGGTTGAAAATATAGACCTAGGTTTTGCAACCATGGAGCATATTTCCAAACTAAAACATTGAAATACTTGAACCATTGAGGTCAAATACTCACTGCCAGATATATGAATCCTATATAGGCAAGCAAATATATAAAAACATGGTAAACACACTCCATAAAGTTTTATGTATAATCAAATATGATAAGGAAATAAACTATTTTCTTTTTGATTTCCAGCTAGGAAATTAGTCCCAAAATAAAAATGATGCTTGGAAATAAAAATAAAATAATTGGAGCTTCCATATAGGTTCTAATTTGAGAGCCCTAGTGTACTTACTTAGTGTTATCTGGACAATTAATTCATAGAAAAGACTAGTGGATATTGTTATCACTGGATAACAAATTCAACCTATTATAATAAACATGGGTACTGGCAGCAGGGGCAATTGGACCCACCTGTCAGGAAATAAAGTAGATATAGGTTATTCCACGAATATACGACTGTTTGGAATTATTGCTACAACGAATATTTTACTGTACAAGTAGAAGTATGAAAGTAAATTGGTCTAAATATTATTCCATAAAAAAAAGGATCATCTGTTACTATTACATATAAACTAAAATTATTTCAATTAGTAGATGTTCAGATAGACGCAAAATTTATTGTAAAAATTAATCCGAAAATAACAAAAAAATTTACGTAAACGCCCCTACAAATAAATACAATGACCTTTATGAAGTTAAAATGTGTTCATCAGCCATTTGGGTTGGATTTCGGTGAAATGTAAACACCAAAGAGGCGCGCCGGGTATCTTTATTACTTTATTAGGCAACGGTAATAAAAAGAAATATAATATTTTTAATATAAATAAAAAGAAATTGGCAGAACGATGGTTCAGAAACAAGGAAAAGAATCTAGTGTTCCACTTTGTTAGTTTTTTGTTTGCTTTGAGTGGATATACTCTTAAAAGTTCCGAAAGTAACGAGTATAACATGGCGGCTATTGATAGTTAAAGTACCGAGTCATTACAGATAGTAAAAAGTAACGAAAATTTACATAGTTTCATAAATCGCCGACTGATTTTAGTTTTAAAAAACCGTCCGTATAGAGGTGTCCGGTGAAGAGACGTGTTCGTTAAGAGAGAGTTTAGTGTAGTGTATTTGTTTGTAATTGTGATTAGGAGAATAAGAGTAAAAGTATTTTTTTTTGTTTTTTTAATACTAATTGAATATTCCACTAAATAAATTAAACTATTTAATCACTTAAATATTGTTACACTTCATTTAAATCACTTAATTCAAAAACCAACTTGTTTACAATACTAAAGTCAATGAGAGTAATTATATGAGTATACTTCAAAATCTGAATTACAACTATTCTATAAACTATCAATTCTATATTTAGATCATAACTTCATATTTAAATCTAAGGTGTATATCTGTCATAACAGTATTTTAAAAATGGGGAGAATTTACCATTGTACCATTCAGCACATTGGACCATTTAAGTCGACACCTTAAAGCGAATTTAAAACAGTTGTATATTCGTGGAATGGAGTATAGCTATACATGTATAATTCTATATTTTATATTGGTTAATAGTATATGCACCCCTGCCTTGAAAAGCAGATGCATCCCCTGAAAATAATCCTGGCAGTGCTCATGTACATGCATGTTTTGTACAAACAGAAATGTGTTTATGCTTTAGAGATATCTTTTGTCTCTAATTGCCTTTGATTACGATATAATTTAAAGCCAAAAGACGATTAACAGTGAATTGTGTGTATCTTTTAAGGTGTATTTTGCTAAATTATTACATCAGGTGTTTCATAAGGTCTTTGAAAATTGAAAATGAAAAAGATAGATTATAATATATTGTTCAAGGTAAGTATATTGTTATTTCTAATTTGTTTAATTTCCTATAAATAAACTATATATCATATAATAGCGTTTTCATTACATATGCCCATATATTAAGTTGTTTAAATAATTTACCAGGTTAAAAAATATGTTTTTGTATAACACGATGATAATCAAATATTTTGATAAAAAATATGAGACCATAAATACTGTTCTGTCATTTTTAGGAGAGTTCTTAAACATGAACATTCCAAAGTATATTTTCAGATTAATAATACTTACTCATTTACATTATTAGGTAAAATTAACATAGGAAAATAAAAATTACTTCTTATACTAAACAGAAAATTTATTCATCATCTACAACCTCTTGAACTTCATCACCCTCTTCCATCTCAGTGTGTTCTTCACCACTAGGTTTTTTAATTTTAACTTGCTTTTTTGATTTGGAATTTTTATATTCTAAAAATAAAAAATATACATTTCTATATTTTGGTGAAAACAAAGTTTTCTAATATATGAAAGACAAATATTTATAATCTATATGTTGGGTTTATATATTATGTATGTGTGTGTGTGTGTGTGTGTGTGAATGGATACTGTGAGCTTTACTAGGAGATTCATTTTGACTATCAATTATTAACACATAGTATCAGTCAATTAGGTAAAGATCCTCTACAAGATATTAAATATAAAGTTGGTTAATAATCTCACAAACCAAATTATTTTAAAGCTACAGATCAGAAGATAATAGTTGTGTAGAACAGTAATCTATAAACTGACATTTTATTATTATATAAAATTACTTGAGTGCCCACAAATTCGTTAATGGCTAAGATATAGAGTTAGTCAAAACAAAATGGATTGCAGCAAAATAAAAAACATTTTGAAACAACAAATAATATTCATGAAAATGGCAAGTACACAACTGTGATAAAATCTGTTCAAATGAAGAGGTTATTATTTAACAAAAAATTAAAAGTTGCAGGATGTGACTAACCTACTTTCTAAAATATTAAAATATTAAGGCTCATGAAACTAACCACTGAGCAGATCAACAATATTGAGGATTACTTGAATTCTGAAAGACTGACTACCAAGAATTATCAAATTTGCAATGATTGGAACACATGCCATTACTTAATGTAATTTATAATATATACCTACCTTTTAAAATTTCTTCTAAAGGTTCTACAAAATTTTCAAACTCCAATTCTTGTAATGCTTTTAAAACATCGCTTGCAATTAACGTCTTTCTATTATTTTTTTGAGCTTCATTAGATGCTTGAGAAGTAACATATAAAACAAACACTGAAGCAGCTCTGGACAAAGCAGATCTGGCATCTTTTCCTATATTAACAGATTCAGGAAGCGCCTCCTTAATAATTTTCTGTACTGTATTATTAGGTAAATTTAAATCTTCTAATCTCTCTGCCATGATTAACAATTTTCCGATGAAGTATTTTGTTTTAATTTAAGTTGGTTTCAGATTATAAACAAAATAAATTTGATGTTTGGATGTTTCCCACCAAAAACTAACCTCATTTCTCATTATGTCATTATTTACTTCTTCTTCTTTTCGATTAGAAAGTCTTGTCCAGTCAAGAATTGTATCTAATAATATTATTTTTTGATTGTTCAGGATTTACACCTGGAATACTTCCTGAGCTTTTAGCTCATATGTCCCACCTTGTCAAATTCTTTGAAACAGAAATTCATCAACTGCAGCATTTTCCTCGACATTCTGTTATTAGGTATAACTTTAATTGACTCAATAATTAAGTACCTGTGTATTTTTTATCTACTCCTGTAACGGTGTAACGGCTTTGGGGACATATACATTAATATAAGAAATATTCTAACTGATTTAGAGTTTTTGATGCTCATTCTGCAACGAAGCATTCTCTGAGCAATGTCCACTGATATCATTATCTTATCTCCTCTCTTGCGGAATCTGGTCATGGATGTGCTGATAGCTCTGATAGGTAATAGCACCAACAGGACCTGAGCTGGGTAGCTTTCGGGATCAAACCAGGAGGACAGAGTTTAAGAGTCTGCGTAGTTTAAACCGCTAACCAAATAAAACAACAACGCTTTATATTATAGCGACATATATAACTGCCGCTTGCCATCAAATCAATCCAGACTTTAAGAACTGAAAAAAAAAAACGAAAACAAAACCTGAAAGATTTTAAGGCCCAAAATGTTGCCTCTAGACGTGAATTTGTCAAGCAGAACTCGTTATGTTTTAATTATTTAGGTAATAATTTGATTGAAGAATGTCCTAGTAGTAAAACGTGTTTTCTCTGTAACCAACGTCTTAATTCTCTGCTACATATGGAGATCAGGACGTCACACTCTTCTGCTCACTCTCAATCGTCAAAGTCTCTCAATAGTAACTGTAGTTCTGTTCGTCACAATTCTAATACTCGTAGTTCTGTAGACAACCTCCCGTCTACTTCTCGCTCACTTCCAGAAGTTGTAGATAATGTTTCACACAGCACCAATGCGGTTACACTTTCAAATGTTGTTTCAACTACTCCTAACAACTCTATAGTATTACTGAGTACAGTTGAAGTATACCTCTTTGACAAATCTGGCAAACGAATTTGTCAAAACTCTCTTAGACAATGCCAGCCAGCTATCCCTTGTAACCAGTGACCTAGTACAAGTAGTACATCAGTTAGGGATCACCACAGAATCTCAGACCATTAAAATTAACGGGGTTAACTCTGGCACGTCCACTTCCACCAAAGTTTCTCATTTGCAGATCTATTCGGCAGCTACTGATCACAAATTGAATGCTAGTTGCTTTGTAATTCCAAGTATTACTGGATATTTATCTCAGGTCAAAATAAACGCAAGGCAAATTCATATTCCTAGTTCCATTACATTGGCTGATTCTCGCTATGCAAGTTTCAGCCCAGTTCATCTATTGATCGGCGCTGATTTGTATTCTGATATTCTTTTAAATTATATAGTCTCTCTTGGCCCAAAGCTACCTATGTTACAGGAAACTCTTTTCGGTTACATAATCTTCGGTAAGGTCCCAATTTCAGCTATTAGTAAAGGATATCATCACTCCACATAAGTATCTTAATAATTTAGTCACATGCTATATCACTAATATTTCTGACACCCCCCTCTCGTCTAATGAAGTGTTTCATTAGTGGAAAAATTCTGGAATCTGATCAACTTCCACAGATTCAGGATTCTATAGATACAGAGCACCCCGCAAAAACTCAGTTTTTAAAGACCGTACAAATTCTTCCCTCAAGTCGATACAAAGTCTCTTTAAATTTAAATCGCTTTGTTAGTGATATTAAATTATCAGGCTCTTTACCGGCAGCTAAGGCTCGCTTTCTCCAATTAGAGAGGAAACTACACTACATTTAGCTAATGACCAGATTAAAAGAGTACCTTTAAAGCCCCTAACCTCAGAAAATAGGGTAAATTAATATTTACCCCACTCTCCAGTCAGAAAAAATGACTAGTACAAATGTACGGCTAGTAATTGATCCAAATAATAAAACTCCTTTAGGTTGTCTTAATGATCAACTGGATAAAGGGTTTTTAATCCAACCTCTTCTTATTGATATTCTTTTAAGATTTCGCACATTCACTCAAGTTTTAATAGCAGATATCCAATCTATGTATTTGCAGATATGCGTAGATAGTTCCGAGTTACACCTACTCAATTTTCTCTGGTGTGACTCATTAGAAATGCCATTCAATGCATTTCAGCTCACTAAAGTTCCTTTTGGTTTATGCTTTTCTCCATTTCTCGCCACTAGGGCTCTGAAACACATTGCGGACAATAATAGGGATAATTTTCCTTTAGCCTGTGACACTCTCTTGTATTATACTTACGTAGATGATATTTTAGGTGGATGTGACTCTTTAGAAGAATTAGAACTCTTCTCTCAACTTAAAATCTTGTTAGGTAAGCACGGTTTTAATCTCCACAAAGTTTCCTCGAACAATGAAGAGTTTTTAAGAAGAAATGGCCTCAAAAGTTTGACGACTTAACCCATAACTTAGATGATTCTTCTTCGAAAATCCTCGGGGTTAAATGGAATTAACAATCAGATACCTTTTTCATTTTCACCACTAAATTTTAATTTAGGCTAGTCAATCACTAAGAGAAAGGTGCTTAGTATTCTGATGTCTACTTTTGATCCAATGAATTTAGCCGGTTATATCACTGCCTCTTCCAAAATTCTCTTGCAACGTTTATGGCAGGCTAAACTTAGTTGGGATGAACCTATCTTCGATCCAGAATGGTTAAATGATTGAAAAATTTTACTTGATGGTTTTCAATCCATTCCCCTTTTGAAATTCCCCAGATGTTTAGTATTAGGTAAACAAATTATAGATGTTCAACTTCACACCTTCTGTGATAGCTCCCTTAAGATATTTGCAACATGTACTTATCTGCGTATAGTGTACGAGGATTACTTTGCTTCCTCCCGTTTGGTAGCTCTAAGCATTTACGATACCTTCAATTACGATCATTTCTTTGATCGGGATAGGGAACTATCAGAATTAAAAAGTGGAAAACCTCTCTCGAATAGATCGCTTAGGCAACTAAATGTTTTTTATGATCAGAAGTGTTCGACACTATGTACGTGTTGGACGTAGACTTTCCAACGCTTTCCATCTCTTTTACAATGAGAAACATCCCATGGTTCTTCCTAGTAAAAATCGAATTGCATCTTTGATGATGTATCAAATGCACATCTCTCTACTCCACAGTGGCCTACAAGTGTGTCTGTCTTATTTCAGAATGAAATTTTGGCCATTGTCGGGTTTAACTCAAACAAAACAAGTAATTTCACAACTGCGTGACATGCCAAGGTTTTAAAGTAAAACCAGTCACCCACTTTATGTCTGATCTTCACTATAACCGTGTTTCAGGCACAAGACCCTTTCAATATGTCTCAGTGGACTATGCTGGACATTTTACGTTGAAATCATCTCACCTCCGTAGATCTCCTTCCTATAAAGTGTATGTAGCATTTTTCATTTTCACCACCACTAAGTGTTACCATCTTGAGCTAGTAACCGGCCTCACTAATCAGGCCTATATTTGGGCACTAAAAAGATTTATAGCACGAAGGTCAGTCCCATCATGTATCTAGTCTGATAATGCGACTAATTTTTATGGGACAAAAAACGAGCTCCATGAACTCTATAAATTTTTTATTAATGAGGAAACACAACATCCATTAAAGATTTCGCAGCTCAGAACCAAATCACTTTTAAGTTCGCTACCCTTCTTAATCCTGCAAGTTTAGGAATACATGAAAGAGGCATTCAGTCAGCTAAGTTTCATCTCCGTCGTGTGATCGGAAACGCAGTGCTCACTTGCGAATTCTTTAATACAATATTCTGCCAAATTGAGGCGATTCTTAACTCTAGACCACTATTTAGAATCTCAGAATGCCCAGAAGATCTTTCCTTTCTTTGCCCTGCCCATTTTCTGGTGGGCCAATCTCTATTAGCCCTACCGGAGCCTAATAATATTTTAGGGATCCCAGAAAACAGACTGTCCCTCTACCAGAAATTGTCTCAAATGCAATTATTGTTCTGGAAGAAATGAAGTGTCTCATACCTCCAAACCCTACAATCTCGATCCAAGTAGTGTACTGTTACTCAAAGTCCCGTACAAGTTAATGATATAGAATTCATAATAGACACCCACCTACCCCCACTAAAGTGGAAGCTAGCAAGAGTCTTAGAGCTAATACCAAGCAATGATGGCCTGGTTCGGACTCTACGATTTCGGACAAAAAACACAACTTGTCTTAGATCCATCAGACAAGTAAGTAAACTTCCTAGCCCTACCTAAAATAATTTGCATTCTTCTCTTTTCTAGTGTCATATGTTTAGCCTTTGTCCCCCTGGCGCGGAGTATGTTCGAATAAATCCATTCGAACATGTGAAACTATTTATTAATATTTTAAATTTAGTATTTAACTCGCACTTTTAACAAACATGCACTCACTCTTAAAAAAGATATAAGTGTCAATGATTGTCAAAAAACATTTGTCAATAGTTTTTAGTATATAGTTTTTTTTGTGCGCTTAAAAAGAAGACTCCCCGAAAAATCAGGCACCCTCGCCTACCCTCAGAGCGAATTTAGTCCCGAACGGTGCACCATCTCTGTTTGACAGAAGTCCTTAAGAATCCGTCAAGAATTTAATGCTCAAAAAGTATACAGTTCTCTGCAAATCGGTTAACGATGTGTCCCGCTGTTGGTATAATAGCAATCAATTATTATAATCACATATACATATTGATTATAATATAGTAGTGCCCGTTTTTGTATACACTAAAAGTTTTTGCATTGGTAGCCTTAGACCCACGTGGCTGGTACATCTTTAGATTCACAATCTTTGTGATAACGACTTGGATAGACAATAGTGCACATACACT